CATGAGAATGGAGCTAAAACGCTTCAAGGCGACATTTGACCGTGTGTGGAGCACCAAACGCAAAGCCATGCGGCCGGAGCTGGAAAGATTGGAGCGGGCCGTCTGCCTGCAGGCAGAGCTCGTGGCCACACTGAAGGCAGCGAGTGGCGCACTGAGAGAGAGGTACACAAACGAAGAGAGGTTTAGGTCTGCCTGAGACAAATCCATTGCGGCGGTGAGAGGCCACACGGAGGTGGTCCTATCATCTGAGGAGTCCTCTGATCCCGCAGCAGAGAACCAGCAGGTGGAGGAGTCCATGGTCATCATGGCAGTAGAGGAGGAGCAGGGATCCATCCCTCCCCAGCAGCCAGATCTGGATTGGGCGTCCCAGGAGCCGGAGGAAGCTGCAGCAGGAGTGGGAGTAATGGAGTTTATTGAGGAGTTGGAGTCCCCTCTACAGGGGAGGCAGTTCTCTTTTTTCTCTGGGGAGACTGACCCCGGGGAGGATAAAGTTTCCAAGCCGGTGAGACCCAGGAGAAGCGAGGGCTGCTTTTGTCCGTCTGGAAAGGATCTCTGCGGCGGTAGAGAAAGCAGCCAGCCTGGGGGAGGTGTGCTATGCAGCAGTGAAGCCGCAGGAAACAGGTGTGCCCGGTAGAACTGTAAGTGAGGTGATGGACGGTGTTGTTGTGATGGCTATGGACAATGGTAATGTTAATGTCAACATGTCTGCTGCAGTGTCTGATCCCCGGTGTGTGCCCAACCCGGCTGAAGCAGAGCTTGGGGTTGTCCCTCCCTCCGTCCCAGATCCCGTCTCTGCTTCCGTCCCTTTATCCACCCCTGCACCCACCCCTGCTACCGCCCCTGCTCCCGTACAGGCACCCATCTCTGGCCCTGCCCAGGTATCTGTCTCTCTTCCTGTGCAGGCTCCCACCTCTGGCCCCGCCCAGGCACCCGCCTCTGTTACAGTTCAGGCACCCGCCTCTGGCCCCGCCCAGGCACCCGCCTCTGTTACCGTTCAGGCACCCACCTCTGGCACTGCCCAGGCACCCGCCTCTGGTCCCACTCAGGCGTCTGTCTCTGCACCTATCTGGGTGACCACCCCTGCACTCACCTCTGCTCCTGGCCCTGTATCCATCCCAGCACCGGTCCCTGCTCCAAGGCGGATGGTAAGCTACTCCGCAGCTCTGAGAGGTGGTCAGAATGTAGGGGGACCACCCGTGGTGCAGGCTGGGGGTTCAGGGTCTGTGGTTACAAGACGTAATGTGGTGCAGATAAAATGGTTTGGGGGGAGGTTCCCCTCCCAGTAGGAGGGAAGTGATTGATCGCATCTTAGACATGGGCTTTGTAGCTAGACATATTTGCCTTTATAGCGCCCATAAGTACCGGGGAATATGATGTGTCTTTTATGAGGCCGGAGAGCTTGGACCTCTTCTGGCAGAGGTATGAAGGTGGGTGGAAGGATACCCCCAGGTGGGAAAAGTGGTATCCAGACAATCACTAGTGAAGAATGTCACAATATTAGTGAGGAACGAATCCATACCGGCTTCGGACCTCATGATATGGCTAAATCATTACGGGGAGATCCTGAGTCCCCTCAGGAAACAACTGGACGATAGGGGCATATGGACAGGGAGTTGGGCTGCTGTAATGAAGCTGCAGGTACAAGGGAATGTGGTAAGCCATATCCCGTCTTCTGCCTTTATTGGCAAAGACAGGTTAGTAATTTTTTATGCGGGCCAACCCAGGGTGTGCCACAGATGTGGTAGTAAAGGGCACTTTGCCTCATCTTGTAGCATACTAAAATGCTCTTTGTGCCAGGAAATTGGCCACGTGGCCAAAGATTGTAATAGAATTAGGTGCAATTTATGCCAGGAACTTGGCCACTCCTATACCAACTGCCCAGAAGCTTTACATAACCTGCCAGGGGTAGTAGAGGAGCTGGCAAGGATGGAGGCTGAGGAGGCTAGGGAGGCAGAAGCAGGTCAGACCTTTGTTGAGCCATCGACTGATGCTGTTCCTGCTCCAGTGGCATCCAGTGCATCCCCAGTTGTGTCTGTCCCCCCCTCTGTTGTAGTGTGTCCCCCTGGTTTGGTGTCCTCCCAGGTGTTGTCTGCTGCCCCCCCTCATGTGTCTCCTCCCTCTAGCCAGTCAAAAATCAGGGAGGCTGCTAAGGGGGCAGGTGCTGGAAAGCCTTCGGTGCCTCCCCCGCCAGTATTGCTTCCCCGCCGCCATTTGGAGTGGGTGAAGAGTACGGAGACTTCAGGGCGTAGGCAGGAGAGTTTGGATCTAGGCTCGGGGGTTGAGGGGTCAGGGGGGAGGATAAAGGGGAGGGGTGATCTGTGGTGGGGAGGGGAGGTAAGAATAAAACTATGCTCTCCGCTGCTTCATCTGTCTCTTCCTTGGATGTGGAGGAAGTGCCTCTGACTAATAGGTTTGGGACCCTGTCGGGTGATGAGGGGGACATAGGTGAGCCCCTTTCCCCGATGGAGGATGAGGATGCTGGGGGTTCCTTAAAGAGGTCTAGGCCTCCAGGAAAGGGTGGGAAAACTAAGGTTAAGAAACGGCCATCTCAAGTATCCTAATGGCAGTTCCTGTTCCGATAAAGGTGGCAACCATTAATGTTGCCAGCATTAAATCTGTAAGTGTTCATAGTACAGCCTTATTTTTGCTCAGCAAGATTGGAGCTGATGTTTTGTTTTTGCAAGAGACCCCGGCTTAATTAAGTGGCCGATTTACATCTGGCAAAAAGAGAGTGGAGGTGTGGCCCCTCTTTTTTGTCTCTTGTGGCTGAGCCTTACAGCGGAGTTGCGGTACTTTTTTCCGGCATGGTAACGTGTCGGCGGGTCCTTGAGGTGGGATTGGAAGGTGTTTGGTCGTGGACGTCCTTGTGAAGGGGCAGGAATTACGTCTTATTAATATATACGGTCCCCAGTCTACCTGGGATAGGAAATGCCTTTTCACAAAGATTAAGCCATTCCTTTTTACGTCCCGGCAGGTTGTCTTTGGAGGTGATTTTAACATCATCACTAGGCTCAAAGACAGGAAAGGCTCCACTGACAGGCTGGGATATGACAGCGTTTTTTTAAATACGATAGTCAGGGAAGCAGGTCTGGTGGATGCCTTGATTAAGTGCAGCCCAGACAGCATGGGTGTCAGGGCTCCCGGGTATGACCAGAGGTGTGTGACTGACGCAGGGAAACGCAGACTTCAGATATGTTATAAACAATATAATTTATTAACACTAACAATACAAACATAAACGCAGTGCAATATTAAAACATAACACAGTGCAAACAAACCAAACCAACCACCCACAGATAACAGTACATACAATGCAAGCGTCGTCAGGCAGGCCGGGTCAATATCAATCGGGCAGGTAGGTACAGGGGGTGCAAGCGGAGAATGGTCGGGGTCACAAGCCAGGTTCAGCAGGTAGCGGGCAGCGTGGTACAGAGGGTCAGGCAGAGGGATGGTCAGGAACGAGCCGGGGTCAGAGCAGCAGAGAAGTCAGCAGAGGTCCAGATCAGGCAGGGTCAGCAACAAGACAGGAACAGGAACAGGATGCAGGAACAGGATACAGGGCCCAGGAAAAACACACACCAAGGCAGAGTCTGCAGGTCTGGCCATCCCTTAAATACACCAGTATAAGCAGTTTCAGGTGTTTGGCTGGCTGCAAGGTTGAGTCTCTGATTGCTGGGAGCACCCGCTGGCCAGCCCTGGTACTGCAGCCCATAAGGCAGGTGAGTCCCACCATTCGCACCAGTCCATTCCTGACAGTACCCCCCCCCTCAAGGAGCGGCCTCAGGACGCTCCAAACAGTCCTAGCTGGGCAAAATGTTCCACCGCCCGGGTCTGGTAACTGGCGGGATATCAAAGACTGGCACACCGGGCAGGACTCCGGGCAGCGGCACACCGGGCAGAGGCACATCGGGCAGAGGCACACCGGGCAGAGGCCTCCGGGCAGAGGCACATCGTGCTGGACTCCGGACAGAGGCACATCGGGCTGGACTCCGGGCAGAGGCACATCGGGCTGGACTCCGGGCAGAGGCACAACGGGGACTGGACTCGGGCGGACTCCGGGCAGAGGCACATCGGGCTGGACTCCGGGCAGAGGCACAACGGGCTGGACTCCGGGCAGAGGCACAACGGGCTGGACTCCGGGCAGAGGCACATCGGGCTGGACTCCGGGCAGAGGCACATTGGGCTGGACTCCGGGCAGAGGCACATCGGGCTGGACTCCGGGCAGAGGCACATCGGGCTGGACTCCGGGCAGAGGCACATCGGATCACCAGGCGAAGCAGCAGGCACCGGGCCACCAGGCGGAGCAGCAGGCAGCGGGCCACCAGGCAGAGCAGCAGGCACCGGGCCCCCAGGCGGAGCAGCAGGCACCGGGCCCCCAGGCGGAGCGACAGGCACCGGGCCCCCAGGCGGGGCGACAGGCACCGGGCCCCCAGGCGGGGCGACAGGCACCGGGCCCCCAGGCGGGGCGACAGGGATCGGGCCCCCAGGCGGAGCGACAGGGCTCGGGCCCCCAGGCGGAGCGGCGGGCGCCGGACCCCCAGGCGGAGCGACAGGTCTCGGGCCCCCAGGCGGAGCGGCGGGCTCCGGACCCCCAGGCGGAGCGACAGGTCTCGGGCCCCAAGGCGGAGCGGCGGGCGCCGGACCCCCAGGCGGAGCGACAGGTCTCGGGCCCCCAGGCGGAGCGGCGGGCGCCGGGCCCCCAGGCGGAGCGGCAGGCGCCGGACCCCCAGGCGGGAGCGACAGGCACCGAGTCACCAGGCACAACAATGGGCTCCGAGTCAACTGGCATGACCGCTGGCACTGGGTCAGACATTGGATCGTCTGGCTGGACAGCGGGCATCGGGTCACCAGGCATCAGGTCATTTGGCTCGACAGTGGGCACCGCGTCATCTGGCAAGGCTGTGGGCTCCGAGTCAACTGGCATGACTGCGGGCACTGGGTCAGACATTGGATCGTCTGGCTGGACAGCGGGCATCGGGTCACCAGGCATCAGGTCATTTGGCTCGACAGCGAGCACCGCGTCATCTGGCAAGGCAGTGGGCTCCGAGTCAACTGGCATGACCGCGGGCGCTGGGTCAAACATTGGATCGTCTGGCTGGACAGCGGGCATCGGGTCACCAGGCATCAGGTCATTTGGCTCGACAGCGGGCACTGCGTCATCTGGCATGGCAGTAGGCACCACACGTCACCAGGCACGACAGTGGGCTCTGAGTCAATTGGCACGACAGCGGGCACCGGGTCATCAGGTACCGGATTGTCTGGCTCGACAGCGGGTATCGGGTCACCAGGTATGACAGCGGGCACTGGGTCACCAGGCATCAGGTCATTTGGCTCGCCAGCGGGCACCGCGTCATCTGGCAAGGCAGTGGGCACCGAGTCACCAGGCACGACAGCGGGCTCTGAGTCAATTGGCACGACAGTGGGCACCGGATCAGGTACCGGATCGTCTGGATCAACAGCGGGCATGAGTCAACTGGCCTAATAGGATCATCAGGCTGGATCAGTTCATCAGGCTGGGTAGAGGCATCAGGCTGAATGGAGGCATCAGGCTGAATGGAGGCATCAGGCTGAGTAGAGGCATCAGGCTGAGTAGAGGCATCAGGCTGAGTAGAGGCATCAGGCTGAGTAGAGGCATCATCAGGCTGAGTAGAGGCATCAGGCTGAATAGAGGCATCAGGCTGAATAGAGGCATCAGGCTGAGTAGAGGCATCAGGCTGAGTAGGGGCATCAGGCTGAGTAGAGGCATCAGGCTGAGTAGAGGCAATCAGGCTGAGTAGAGGCATCAGGTACCGGATCAGGTACCGGATCGTCTGGATCAACAGCGGGCATCGAGTCAACTGGCCTAATAGGATCATCAGGCTGGATCAGTTCATCAGGCTGGGTAGAGGCATCATCAGGCTGAATGGAGGCATCAGGCTGAATAGAGGCATCAGGCTGAATAGAGGCATCAGGCTGAGTAGAGGCATCAGGTTGAGTAGAGGCATCAGGCTGGGTACTGTCTTGGAAATTCGCTTTAACGAATTTCTCCTTACCGTGAGTACTCGCAGTTGGATGCGCAGAAATCCCCCATAAAGCTGTGTGAATCTCGCTTACCACGACTGTAGCTAAACTACACGATTCCTGCCCATCCAACTACTTTTAGCTTCTGTTGAAATGTGGGGATGATGGAGCTCCGTTACCCTAGAATGATCAAACGACACTCTCAGGATGATGGTTGAATTCACATAAGGGCTGGTTTCAGACTCAGCCCCTGGTTTTATTAAAAATACACACATGCCCCCCACATGAATAAAGTCAATCCCCTCCCACCAAACAATGCAATGGGGAGTGCCTATACACAGGATGTACATTCCGATTGGAGCATAGCCTTTCCTATTATCTATCACTGGTCCTCCCCCCATGAGCCTTCTGAGGTCAGCAGACTTCCTCCCCTTCCTCTCATGAGCCTTCTGAGGTCAGCAGACTTTCTCCCCTTCCCCCCCATGAGCCATCTGAGGTCATATTTCCCAGCTCCTAGCAGTATGTCCATTCTCTGTAAAAGCATCCCCTAGAAATATCAGTCTGTACCTGGATGGGCCCGATACGATCTTTATTAAAACACATCCATCCAAGATACAGTTCAGGTCAGTAATGGGTTGTAAGATATGCATAAGCCTACACGCGGAGTTCACACCGCTTGGCGCCTTGCGTTATGAAGCCCATGTGGTACTATGCTGCTGATATGTGGATACAGGCCCGCGGTCTACTGCCAGCGGCATTCGCATCGAATGCCGTGGTGGTATACACGCCGGTCTATAAGCGCAGATCCGCCATCTCATCCATTACCGAGCTGAGTACTGTAATACATACATGCGCATGGCCCAATTGCAGCCTTCAGAGCTTTAATTAAGCCACACGAGAGACATATGAATAACACTCATATATGACACATTTAAAGTTCGACCAACAATACAAAATTTCCATGACATTCCCTCCTGTTTTATCATATTCTCCTCGTGTCCCTTCTTGATCTTCTTCAGCTTGATGGGTGTAGTCTCAAAACCTCAAAGAGTTCCTGTAGTTGTCCCTGAGAATAAAGCTCCACGGGGTACCTGAAACAACAAGACCCGACGCAAACTCGACGCAAACAGGCTTGATTGAAGCGATGATCCTCAAGAGCGTTGGAACCTTCACTACAGGAAGGCTCTTGCAAAAACCACAAACAGACTTGTGGTATGAATAAGGTTTGTGATCCCACGGTGGTCTGGGGAGATCCAGCAACAGATTCTCAAATTGCCCCTGCAGACGGGGCCACACAAGGTTGGTCTCGACCCAGACAGTTTTCCAAATCGCAGACACAAACCATGATGAGGCTTGAAGCTTGCTTGAAGGTCTTGGAGAATGTGGTCTTCAGAGAGATAAATTAGAGGGAAGCCAGGACGTAATCTGTAGAGAAGGTGGTTGGTTGGTGAGGTCTTCCTCCGATCAGTGGTTGGAGTGGGATCCCAGGAGCGGGCATGGAGATGTGGTCGTTCTGCCCGAGCTTGGCTTACACGGTCGATGAGGCAACAAGAACATCTCACCGCGGCATATAAGAGGCAGAGGAAAAAGAGAAGCATCAGGACATACACTCCCACTTCCTTCAACCAAGATCCGATGGAGAACAGGAAATCTCCCAATCCTCCCAAAACCCTTGAACGGATTCCAACCCTCTCTAGCTATAGCTCTAGCTTTTCCCTGTAGTTCATTAACTTTGTCCATATGGGCCTGGACCTTGTCATCGGTGTCTTCTATCCAAGTACAACAATCCTCTCCGATGAACTCACAGAACCCCCCTTTGGCGGCTAAAAGGTAATCAAGGGCCATCTTCTCCTGAAGCACTAAAATTCCCATCTGCCGTTGTTCTTGGGCAATTTCTCTGACAGCCTCTACGGTCTCGTTAAACATACTATCCACGATGACAGAAAAATTGTTCAGGCGCTTCATAAGTTCTATTCCCCTACCTGTCCATGAGGGGAACCAAGCCCATGCCTGGTCGCCCTCAGATAACAGCTCCCTGTGAACTCTCCCTGCCATCCTTACCTTCTTGTGGACCATCAACTCTTCATGATCCATCACTACATAGGATGCTGGGACTAGCTTTATGAGGGCACACAAACCTTTCGCGTTCTGGGGAAATGTTCTATAGGCTGCCGAACCACACAGAAAATAGTATGGACCTGTCAGAGCAGAGCAGGAAGAGTTCCTCGTTCGGCCTCTGGCACTGAGCAACAGTTGCACAGACTGGGGGATTGCTCCCTCAGTCTGCACATCATCACATCCATCCTTCCAACACACGTGGTCTGGTCGGTCAGTGTGGTTACTCAGAAGGGAAGTCTGGTTAGTCAGATTGACAGTTATACCTCCCTCACAGGTGGTAGTCCCAACAAACTTGTTACCTGTGCCAAAGCTGATGTTAAAGCACACCTGAGGGCTGCCTAGCTGTCCAGTTACCCATAATGGACTGACGAGGGTCCTACAGGAGCTAGAGCTAATATTGGTGCTAAAACTGATGTTACCTGCTAAATATGTGTCATTAAGTTTCTACCGACAAATGTCTACGTGGGGGCTGACCAGGGGTCCCTTGCTTTTTCATGCGACGCGATGTCATATAGGGCATGAACAGCGGCCATTGCGGACATGTGATGACTGGGTGGGGGCTTAGAGCATACCCAACAGTTGGTTTTGTTGGCGGTTCTGGCTAAACGCAGGTGCATTTTAAATAAAAGGTTGGGGTATCTGCCGTCTTTTCCTCCGTTCACACACATGTAAGACATACAAACAAAAAGAAAAAGGAAAATGACACCCCTCATTCTCTGGTGTAGCTGAAAAGCTTCTTGCAGTGGCTTGCGTGCACCCAGTTGTCTCGTCCCTCGAGCTTGAGTGAGGTAGGTGTCGTCAGCTGGACTTGGTATGGTCCGGTGAACCGTGGCTCGAGTCCGGTTCTTTGATGTTTCTTTAGGACGACCCAATCACCTGGCTCAATAGAAAGAACACCTGTTATTGCATTTGGATCCGGGAGCGATTTACGAACCCAGTGGTGTATCTTCTGCAGCTCCCGTTGCAGAGATTGCACATAACCTGTAAGCTGTGAATGCAAAGACGACAACTGTTGAGGAAAGTACAACCCTGTTTTGGGAGGTCCCCCAAACAACACCTCGTAGGGTGACAGCCCATGTGGTTGCCGAGGGGCATTCCGGATGGAATAGGGGGCAATGGGGGGACACTCAAGCCAAGGTTTTTGGGTATCGGAAGACGTTCAACCTTACCGCTACTCTCGGGGTGATATGGGGTGTGTCGCCGCTGACTCCAGTTCCACCAAAGAAATGCAGTCGTGTCCTTTGGAAGTAGTGGACAAAGAAGACATGTTAGCAGAAGAGGTGTTAGTATTGTTAGTCGTGTTGCAAAATTCAGCACTATCGTTGCTGTCCTCCCCCCCCCTTCTCATCTTCCAACACAGGAAGAAGAGAAGCTGGGTTAAGAATGGTGCATCGTTTGATAGTGAGGTTAGTAGGGGTTAGGAGGGCTTTCCCCTGAGAGGGGTACCTTGCCTTGGATCTCCTGTTTTCGCAAGACCATTCTTGCTGCACTGGTGTCGGTGAGGCAAGGGAGGGGATATTTTAATTCCTCTAGAAAAAGGTGGATCTGGGCCGACACCGATTTGTCAACTTCCTATGAGAATTCATAGGGGTTACTTACCATGGTGGTCACCGGGGCAGGAGGACTCATCAGGAATGAACTGCCACCGACCTTTAGGTAATTGGGGACAGCTCCTCCTCATGTGCCCCGTTTGGCGGCACTGGAAGCACCTGGGTGGGGGGCTATCCTTCCTGTGACCCAGATCCCTTGGTTTTTCGTGTGGGGTCTGGGACATAAGAACTTTGGCCTTGTCCTGTTTTCTTCTATCCATTTCCCTCTCTATTGCCGCAAGAGTGGAAAGGATAGCAGGGATAGACATCTCATTATATTCGGGTCGGGCCAGAACCAGCCTTTCCCGAATTTTAGTATCGATGCCTTCCAAAAATTTGGCTCGCAACAGAATGTGCGTCGCGGTCACCTTTACCCCTTCAGTTGGAGCATCAGGTCCAACTTCCAGATCCGCATCCAGTGCCGTCTGCTTGAGACGGCGCCAGAAGCAGGCGCTTTCCTCATTAGGACCCTGGGTGAGCTTCATCATGTCCGTAGTAGAGGTAGCACCATACATTTCTGGAAGCTTTGCCTTTAGCTGTGTACAGAACTCTTTGCCCCCTGAAGTCATCTCCTCATGCGTGGTTATAGAGCACCCTGCAATCACTGTACTGGCCACTTCCATGCCCACCTTCGCCCGCAGGATCTGTGCACAATCTGACCCACTCATACCATAGCTGAACTGGTTTTGTCCAAACATTCGAGCAAATCCTCTCGGATTGACTCGATAGTCCGGGAGCTCAGCCAGAATAGTGCGGATCTCTGCCGGGGTG